TAAAGTGTCTTATCTAAAAGGACTACGCGCATCACACGTTCTGCCATTTCGGTTCCTCCTCATTTACCTCGTTTAGATAGATCGTCCCCTTCATCTCTGTACTGTTGTATAAGTGATTAAGTTGGGCAAGTTATGTTTTACCAAAGCTTTTTTCTTTGTTTCTCCTCAGTTTAGTCATTACAAGTTCCATCCGCTAGCTACGTCTCCCCATTACAAGCTGAGAGGGTGAAGGCTAGCATGTGCTTCCTTAAGCCACCACATTTTCGAACTGATGCTAAGATGACTGTTGCTATGTCATTGGACAGCTCAAGATGCTTGGAGAATGCTAACAGCCAATTCTGTTACGTCAGCTAATAGATGCCCACATTGGCTTCACACTGAGTGAGAGCTATGCTTCTAGACCAGACATGTCAAACTAGCGACCTTCCAAGCCAAAGTGCTATGGAGATTAGCATTTACCTTCTGAATTCCATTCATGAAAGCCTTGCTAATTGGTGTGTTTAATGAGGCAGGGTGCTAAAATATGCAGTGTTTGGCCCACAAGGGCTGGAGCCTGACACATGTGTCTTAGACTTTTGCCCACTGGATGGCCATGGCACCTCTGGGGATACATTTTTTCAGGCTGGGTGGGAGACACTTTTCAGCTACCAGTGATGTTGTGTGTATGTGTCAAGTGTATAAGAAAACCCAAAAGATCTGCTTTATATTTTGGACTTAAGCATTATCGGAAGTTGATTGGTTATGTCTGCAAACATTCAGAACGGGTTTTTCCTAATAATAATAAATAATCAGCAGCTTGTATTAGTCCATATTCAACGCCATATAATGCCATATTTCAATAAAACCACCCTAAAGTAATATTTCAGTTTGCAGAAAAACTTTTAGGACCATGAAATTCTGTGCTTTAAGCCTACTGTGACTGGATACCAGAAGACCCGAGCTAGACACTGCTCCACACTCAATATCAATGGTAGGATTATGCGCCAGACTTGGGGTCTGAGTTTAGTGCAGTTTTACATTTGAAAATAGGTGGAGAATCTTATTTATGACCTAAAAAAGAGTGCATGTTGCATAAAAACCAAGCTCTAGGAAGTAAACACAGGCCTGCCAGTTACATGCTAATATCTGTGTCTCGTCCAAGCCGGGGGGCCTGTGAGTCTGGCTGACAGGCCTTTTAATAGTAGTGGAAACTTTGCTGTGTTACATGTTTTTCTGCTAAAAATGAACATTATGTTGATCAAACTATAACATTCTAGTATCACCAAAGCTAAATTTTCACCTTCAGATTGAGTGATCATAATACATCAATGCATAATACATCAACGCATTTTCACAGTAATGAGTCTCTTACAACAACACAGGTTAACTGTCAAGGCACAAAGATAGCATTTGAGCCAAAAATCTGAATTGGGCAATAAACAAGAAGGCTTGTAATGTAGACTAAGTCTGTGGAGTATCCCCCTCATCCTCTTTGGCAGGACAGAGTGCGTGTATCTGGTGATAGAGAGAGTGGCAGGCCCTCTAATTCTCCATGGCAGGCTTCCTCATTCTTATTTTACCATCTCATGGTATCATTTATCCCTCCAGTCATGGTGGCAGCAGAGCAAGTGTTAATCAGGGTGCTACCATCTCTCAGCCAGCACCTGCAGGCCAGCAAGCCGCAGTGCCAGTCCCAGCCCTTCTCACACTGGCATGGCAGGCTTGGCACCTTCAAACTCCTGAAGCTTCCCTGCAGGACGTTCTGGTGCCCAGTATGCCAGGATGAAGCAGTTAACGCCCGTTAGTGTTGGTGCCAGTGCCGTTCATCTTTTGGTTACTTGAAATGGAGTATGTTTGGTATTATTAATAATGATTTTTATTGTTAAATGAGATCAATAAGCTTAAAATCTTGGCTGCCTCGCATAAGCCGAGCGTATTGACTGCGCTGTAATTGATTTAGATTACTCGAGTAAACTGCCCGGCTGAATATGCGAGAAAACAAATGTATCGACTGACGGAGTTTCAAATTAAGACATCAGAGGTGCTTAATTATTTAAGTGGATTATTTAAGTGAATCAGGAGATATTGAAAAACCTCACAGAGTAATTGTATGCAAACTGCTCAGAAACTTTTTTGTCTCGCTGCGTGACGACACTGCTGCTTTTAGCCATACACTTCATTTTTTTCAAGACTTGTCTGTTTTGCATTAGACTGACAGAAGCTCAGAAACTCCTTCGTGCAAAGAGATCAGAACAGGATGAACTTTTCCCCTCATACTGTCAACAGCTTATTAGCTGTCACGGTAGCAAAAAATGCAGTCAGTTTCACTCCCATTCAGTTTGTCAGAAGCTGCACAGTTTCTGTCAGACATTCAGATCTAGAGTGAAGCAATTTAAGTCATAAGGATCTTGTTTTTCTTTTGTTTATTCCACTCATCATAACATCTTAATTCCCACAGTATAAGGCATTAGAATGGTGAATAATCTGATTCCTGTTGATAGCATCAATCATTCTTGTTGCTTTCTCTTCCGTCTTTGTTTGAGCAAATGACAAATGCCCTGGGTGAGAAATGAATGGTTGCCTGTCACAGGTAATCATGAGGTTGTCTTTCAGCCCCCAGCCTGCCTTTATTTCCCATGATTAGCTTTGTGGGGGAATAATAGGATACAGTTCACTCTTGCTCTTGTCCTTTTTGTTCTGTGACAGCTGTGACGGCATTCATGCTGTAAATGGCATCATGTTTATTGTGTAGCTTATAAACTCAATTATTTTAATGTATTAAACTATGACCTGTCAGTTTGGAACTATGTAAATAAAGCAAAGTTGAATGGAATCATTATTCTGTTTAGGGATGCACTGATTCTGCTTTTTTCTGTCAGTACTGACTCTGATATCTGAATGCAGGGCCTATACTGACTACTGAACAAATATAAAAAAACAAATATACATCATACACAGTTGCATGCAAAATTTTAAGCACACTTATTCAAATGACATATTTTGTTGATTTTTGAAGTCCAAAGAAGTGAACACTTCTAATGTTAGTGCACAGATATGTTATATTGGATTTACTTAATAATACAAAAAAGAATGTAGTAAATGTGGGATGCCCAAAAGTCTGAACATCCTTCCGGTTTAAAGTCTTAGACCTTTACAGGCCTTAACTTACTCATTAGGCTGTGTCCTGGTTTGACAGGTCAGTAATTGTCATTGGGAATTGTCAGCTGATAACAGTTCCAGAGCACAATAAATTCTCTTTAAACCTTGTACTAACCATGGGCTCCTCGAAAGAGGTGCTTGGAGGAAGTGAAAACGTAGCTTAGTGATGTCTACAGGAAGGCTTAAAAAATTTCAACTGTCTGGCGTGATTAAAAATGGCAGTTAAGGGGAACCTAAGCAAGATCTGGATAGAACGCTTAGAACAGCTCATATGCTGGCCAGAAAGGCAAAGCAAAACCCCCATATGACAGCAAAGGACGTGCAAGAAGGTTTATGTGACACAGGAGCGGTGAAACATTGCATGGGTAGAATGGGTTCCACTAAATATCAGCAAATTCTGGGGACAAATCTGACACAGTCAGTCAAAAAGCATACCTCAAAATCCACCATGAATGACTTCATGAAACATAAGTTGAAGCTTTTGGAATGACCCTCACAGTCCCTTGAAAATCTGTGGGTAAATCTTGTAAACATGCTGTGCATGAAAGACGGCCCAAGAATTTCACAGAACTAGAAGCATTCTGCAAGAAAGAGTGGGCAAATATTGCTAAAGCAAGAATAGGAGGATTACTAGCTGGCTACAAAAAGACTTTACAAACTGTGATATCTGCCAAAGGGGGTGTTACTGACTACAGTAGGGTGGCCAACCCTGTTCTTTATGCATGCCACAATAACTCATTTTTCTATTTTTCTATTTAATCCAATTTAATTATGTAACTGTGCATTAACATTTGCAGAAAATGCTATTTTTTAACAGAGGTTGTGTTTGCTCCTTTTTTTACTTTACTTTTTCTTACTTTAAAATTCAACAAAATATGTCCTTTGACCAAGGGTGGCCAAACTTTTGCACACAACTGTATACTACATACAGTAGCAACTAATGTAGCATAGAACAGATCAGGGGTGTCTGATGTCTCAGTATGTGCTAATGTGCTAGTATAGGCTAACAAATTTGTATATGAATGAAAACACAGACTTTCCCCTGCTTCAAGCTTTAGCTCTGCCATAGACGCTTTTTCTTGCATCTGAGTCGCCAGAACGTAACTGGAGCACCATTTAAGGTGGAACGGGAGAATTCAAGCAAGAAGCTGGCAAAAGAGAAACTGACTTCAGCTTTGTGACTTTTTAGTGTTTGATAGTTTCTCACTGCAGATTAAACATATCAGGAAACAAGCTGGAGTGCTTATAAATGCAAATACGTCTATTCGTCTCTAAATTATCAATGTTCGTCTTAAATCTTTGTCTTTGCCTTTTTGTCAGCTAGGTGAGATTGTTGTCTGTGTTGCTGTGTGACCATGGCATTCATACGTTCATTTTACAGATGTACAAGTTTTGTAAATTATATTGTAAGATACTTTTTTTTTACAGTTTTAGACTACTGACCATGCCACATCTGACCGACATCTGATCTGTTGATAAGGTCATTATCTATGCCTATATCGATTCAGTAGGTCAGATTGCTGACTCACTAGTTTTGTACATACTTTCAGTTCAGAACAGCATCATATTGATCATCTGTACCAAGATATTTCCTATAAGATCAGCAACAGCAAGAACAGCAAACACCAGTCTGTGCCTGTCGTTTCTGAGAAATTTTTATCTCTGTAGTCAGCAGCTGTTCTTTTGATGGTGGCGGCTTGATGGTTGATGCAATATCTTGTTTCATGTCAGCTTATTTGCTTGATTCCCTGAATAAGTATCTCATAAATATCCTCATTTCAGTTTTTAATCCACAAGTTGAACTTTGTCTTTGTTAAAAAATAACTGCTTAAAAGACTGTCTTTCTCTCCTCTGTCTTGCAGGAAATTGCAGCTTACTTGATAACGTTCGAAAAGCATGAAGAATGGTTAACGACATCCCCTAAAACAAGGTAAGACAGTTACAGAAGATTTTCTCTCTGAGGCTTCGGAGTTTGAATTTCCATCATCACGTCTGGTGGCCCAAATTAGGCTATTAGCTGGAGTTCCTCCTAATCACCCACTTGAGAATCTCCCTCATCTTAAAAGTTGGGTGTTTGATATTGGTGGCCATTCACGGCAGTTTCAAATGCTTTACTCCTTTTAGGAGCGAGTGCTGACAGGTAATGGAATATTAATGTGGGCTAATAACTCCAAATAGCCTATTAGCAAAGCTCTTAGCACACGGCTCTGCTCTCATCCCCTGTGCGAACGCCATGCTAATGTGTTCATATCTAACGGCAAATTAACCGCTTGTTAATAGATGAAAGTGTGAGACAAGAGCTGTCCAGGTTTTTAGACATGAGGAAATATAGATGTGTGTGCGTGAGACTGTGTGTGTGAGTGTTAAAAGAAGCTATGAGGAGGAAACTGTGTGTGTGAGTGTTAGCTGTGTAAAATAATCAACTTATTGATCTGCAGATTAACCTGATTTGCCATTGAAAAGTGTAGGTGTATGACTCCTATTACTCATTCTGGTCTGTGATCTTTGGCTTTTCAGTAGCGCTCGATTCAGAAGCAGCTTTTGTGAGAGCAGAGTTATGTCCTGTGTTTCTATACACCCTCCTTTATATGACACATTATACCTCAACATAGTACATTAAGGAAGCCCATAAAGGATTTCTAATAACAAGGTAAGGGTTCTGGGGTCACCAGAGGTCATACAGGGACAACGAGGGGTGAATTTTTCATAGGAGTGCACTTCCTGTTGATAGCATCAGTCATTCTTGTTGCTTGTGTGTGTGTGTGTGTGTGTGTGTGTGTGTGTGTGTGTGAGCCCTTAGATCTCTAACTAGCAAACAAGCTTGTAAGATAACCAACCTTAGGCTACATCACTACACATATATAACAGATTGAGCAGTTTAGCAGTAGCAAATCAATTGTTATAGTTTTGAAATATACAGTGGTATGCAAATGTTTGGGAACACCTGGTCATAAGACATGCTTTGATGATTTTTAAAGTGAAAACCCTACTAAAAAAACAGCATAGGCCAGCATGGCCTGTAGCCACCAAACCAGCACATGTTGTGTTTTGGATGCTGGTCAATCAGCATGACCATACTGGGTGACCAGCTAAACCAGCACCAGACCATCATTAGACCAGCTAGCTTAGTCTAGTATGGAAATAATGCTTGTCAGTGCAGTTTTTTTTTCAGCAGGGAATAATTAGACATCCTCTACGGAGAACACACTTCTGCACATTTCAATGCGCAATTACTGCTTATTTGATGAAGTTTACATCAAAAAAAAAAAAAACATAATATGTAGCGTGTACAAAGTTATGGCAAATTTTATACATTATGTTATATCTTTTTTCCAATATGTGAAACTAAGTGCAAAAATTACAATAAAAAATTGAACTAGAATTAGCAGAAAAATGCTATATTGTGTGATCCTGTAAAAGATGTGTTAACTTCTTTTCACTTAGAAAATCAACACAGCATGTCATTTGACTGGGGGTGTTCAAACAGACTGTCGAATTGTAATTTTGTTATGTGGAGTTCAAATTAAACTATGATTAAAGATTGTAATTAATTTAAATGCTGCCTATTGCTGAACATATTCTCATTCTTTTTCACTGAAATGTTCAGTAAGACTATGTTTTATTCGGGATAAATCTATTTGGAAGCAGCACATACATACATAAACGCAATATCATTTTATTTACTCAACTTATAATTTCATGTTATTGTATGTTTGTAAAAATGTCAGCGGAATGAACATAGTCTTATTGTTATGTAGAGGAAGCGTGATGCAGTGGCAGCACAGGGCCATAAAAACTTAGATTTGTTTCCTGGAATATTTCAATGGGGGAAAATAAGGTCCTGTGAATATCAGGATGTTTCCTAGACATTTCAGTAAGCATATAAAGGGCGCTGGGAACATAGGGATGACCCTACTTTGGTACAGCTTAGCTTACACCTGTGCTTGAACTCTGTAGAGCGGAGGGATTTGTGGTTATGGTTGTGAGAACGGCTCTGGAACAGACCAGCAGGGGCTCTGAGGTTAAGCAGGCGAAGCTGAAAGCAGTAGCCGTAACATTAGCCGTAGTGTTAGCTTTAGCATGGCACTAGCAGGGCTGATGTTAGCTCAATGACACGCAGTAGGGAGAGGATGTCAGCCTGGCTCCGGTCAGCATTAGCATGGCAGACTTTCTTGTCCTGTCCTGGCCCACAGAGTTCAGCTGTGACTCATGCACACAGCCCTGGGCTGCTTTATGTAATAGCGCTGATTGTGCGCTACATTTTTTTTTCTGACTCTTTTAATTCAGCAAACTGTTCCTCGCGTTCATTTGGTCGCTGTACTCCAGGAGAGGGATAAAAAAAGAGAGCACGGCAGGGTCAGCATGAATACAGCTCACACCAGGAATACAGAAACGCGAGCTCCATTAGCAAGGGAAAAAGAGAAGGAGGTCATTCGAAGGTCGAATAGATGATGACAGAGTTTATTCCTCCTCTCCTGCACCATATTATGTTCTGTGTCTTGTAGGGTAGTATTTTACAGTGCTGTGGGTGTACCGAGCGGGTGGAAGTATGTGCTAGCTTCCTCAGCCTAAGGTTGTGGCCTGCAGACTAGCAGAGCACAGTCAGGCACACAGATACACACACACACTGTCTCTCTCTCTTTCTTTTTCTCTATCTTTCTTGTTCCAGGAGGAAGTCCCGCTTCACTCCCAATTAGCAGCAGCCAGCTTTTACCCTTTAGACAGCTCAGAGCCTTACTGCCTCTGTGCCAAAGCCTAGACTTGCATCCTCGCCTGCCTGCTGCACGCAGGGAGAGGAGGCCGCTACAGATAAAACAAAAGCTGACCAGCAGTCTGAGTGCCTTCTCTTCACACTCTGCATACTCTGTCTCTCTATTTCTCTCTCTTTCTCTCTCTGCCTCTGTTTCTCTCTTTAGACCTCTCTCTCTCCCGGCTGTTATTAACCATCCTCATTCATGTGCAAATGGACTGTGGGTCCTGCAACATCCAGACAATTTCCCCCCGTGCCTCCATGCCTGTAAGGGACATTGATAATGGGCAGACATAAAGAAAGTGCCAATTATAAGACATTTCCTTGCATAATTGCAGAAGATGAGGTACAGAGCGCCCTCTTGGCTTTTTAACATGGCCAAAAAAAGAATGAAATTAGCAAAATCAAGTCTGTTTCTCTTCATTCATTTATTACTGGCCTAGTATTTGATGTCGGACATTATTGCTGGCTGTAGGAGGTGTGAAAAGCGGACCCATTCACACAGTCTATGAGGCGAATTTGACTCTATATAATTAAGCCACATAGTAATGTATAATAGCAGCGTGTCTCTTTGGCCCTGTCTTTGGAGATGGAGTGTTTGTGGGGCTGTGTGGCAGGGCTGGAGGCAGGATGCAGGCCTGTAGTCTAGGGGGAAATGATGGAAAGGTAAAATTTTCCCAATCCCAGCACACCTGATCCAGCTAATGATGCCATAGTCTGCAGGGCAGCAGCATTCCAGCTTGCTTTTTCCCAGTTCACTCTATGAAGTTTTCCAAAGCATCCAGTGAAGCTGAACTCCATTGTTTTCAGTAGAACTGTCAAAGTAAATACGAGAAATTGTTAACGGTACATTTTTTAAAGCCATTAATGCATTTCCCTAGTTTGGCCCTTTAAACTGTCCATAGTAGCACAGGCTGAAGCCCTGACTGAATCGGTTGCAGCCCTGTCATTCAAATACAGCTTTAAAATGGCTTTTAAAGAGATTTCTTGCAGACTACGCATGGAAGAGCTATGGAAAAATCAACAAGCAGCAAACTAATAAAAGCATTGCCAAAGTGGAAAGCTACAGTTACCCTCAAGAGCCTCCATTGTAACAAGAGCTGTATAAATAAGAGAAAGGATTACAATCACACAGAAGTTGGAACCATTGACTGTATATACATACATACCCTATGTGGCCAAAAATATGTGGACACCTGACAATTACACCCACATGAAATGAGCTTGTTGGACATCCCATTTCAAAACCATGGGATGGTTTATGGAGTTTGTCCTCCTTTTGCAGCTGTAACAGCCTCCACTCTTCTGGAAGGGCTTTCTACAAGATTTCGGACTGTGTCTGTGAATTTGTGTCTGTTCAGTCAAAAGAGCATTTGTGAGGTCAGGCACTGATGTTGGATGAGAGGCCTGGCTTGTAGTCAACACACCATTTATTCCAAAGGTGTTCAGTGGTGTTAAGGTCAGGGATCTGTCTAGGCCACTGGAGTTCATTCACGCCAAACTGGTCAAGCTATGTCTTTGTGGACCTTGTTTTTTGCACAGGGGCACAGTCATGCTGGAAACTGTAGCCACAAAGTTCGAAGCTTTGTGTAAAATGTCTTTGTATCCTGTAATACTAACATTACCCTTCACTGGAACTAAGAGGCCCAAACTCTGAAAAACATTCCTAGACCATTATCCCTCCTCCACCAAACTTTACTATTGGCACTGTTCATTCCAGTAGGGAGCATTCTCCTGGCATCTTACAAACTCAGAGTCACCTATATTGCAAGATAGTGAAGCGTAATTCATCACTTTAGGGAAAATGCTTCCACTGCTACAGAGTTCAGTGGTGATGTGCTTTACAGCACTCCAGACGACGCTTGGCATTGCACATAGTAATCTTAGGCTTGTGTGCAGCTGCCCAGCCATAGAAACCCATTTCATGCAGCCCCCAATGCACAGATCTTGTGCTGATGTTGCTTCCAGAGGCAGTTTGGTGCTGATAGTGAGTAGTTGATTTTTATGCACTACACTGCAGTGCACAGTAGTGTGGTCTGAGTTGTTGTTACTCCTTGATGCTTCAATTTCTCAATAATAGCACTTACTGTTTACCAGGGCAGATCTAGCAGGGCAGAAATTTCACAAACTGACTTTTGGCAAAGGTGGAATCCTATGACTCATTGGTTGGAAAACATAGC